TATATATATATATATATTATTTTTTAATCTATAAAAGATAAATTATTACATTCATGTAACAGATTTATAAGTTAAGTTGCAATGCGATTACATATTTTTAATTTAACATTTTAAATTCCTTTAGGTTGCGGCACTCCTTTGTGGATTATCAAAAATCAAATGAATTCTATAACAAAATAAACAGCACTGAGCTTATAACATTTCGTTTTAATAATTAATTTGTATTTCAGGCGTTTTCAGCAGCAAAAAGAAGAAATAGTTTTACAAATGTGTAAATATGTTTAGTTCATTGCTATGTAAAAAAAAACATTTAGTAGTTTACTGGCCAGATTGAAAAAAAATATCGTTTATAATATAATTGTGTTAAAGTTTTACAATCTAGGTAAAATTATTCCTGTATAGGTAAAGAACATGAAGAAGTTTACTATACTGATGTTACTAGCTCACATATCTTGTATGTTATTTAATGTAATATTGTTATTTATGTTGTACATATTATATTACTAGCTGTGGACCGCGACTTCTTCCGCGCCAAATTACGAAATATAATTAGTATCCTATGTGTTCTTTCAGGCTATTATGCCAAATTTCAACGAAGTCTGTTGAGCCATTTCAGAGATTCCAACAATTAGCTATCAATGTCGTTTTCACTTATAATATTAGTAAGATGTAATGTCGCTGTGCGTGTTTTCGCTGTTTATTTGCAGTTATTATGTTTGTATAGTAATCAAATAATTATACCAGGTCGGGTATGCGTGATAAGTCCACATTGGCAAGCATTGAAGATGTTACGAACGCCTCGTCTGCGTCCCTATGTAGTGTTCATACGGCCGCCATCATACGACCGGCTCGTCGAAACACGAACGTCGGCGAACGCTCGATCGACCTTCGATAAGGATAGCTCACGCTCATTCACAGTAAGTTAGGATTAAATAACATTATTTCTGAAGTGATTTTTTTTGTAGCGAATTGTGAACTGGTAAAACAAAACAATAGGCAAATAAAATCTAATGAGATGAGATGAGATGAACCTGATGAGATGTCGTGAGATTTTATGCAACCCCCTCCCTTATCCCCCAATCTCACGTGAGATTTTTGAAAATGTGAGTTTCTTACGTAAACGCGTTGGATTGTTAATAAGATTAAATCTTAAGCATGTACAATCTGGATTAAATGGACCAAAATAGTATATATTTTATTTGTTTCAATTAGAAAAAAAAATCGTGATATTTGCCGAGACCCCCTTCTCTCCAACGTAAGATAAGATGAGATTTCACTCCATCCATCTATCTAAACTTTCGCATTTATAATATTAAGTATGAAAGGAAAGAGTAAATTAAAACATTTGAGTCGCTTGATTTATGTCTTAACTTAAATTTTAAGTATTATTTTAGTAAGATATTGCTTATTGTTTGCAGGAGGAGGAATTCAATGATATCATACGTTCATCAAATCGTATAAATTTTCTATATGGCTACATGTTTGATGAAGAGATTGTGAACGAGGATCTAGGCAGTGCTGTGACGCAGCTTCTTAAGGCCTCGTGGAAGGTTCAGTCGGAGCCTCTATGGGTCCCAGCGTCGTGGGTGCAGTAAACTTTATCTTATCGTCTTTTTCATATATATATATATATCTAGATATTTCGTTGTTTATTATAACTTTTTAATCGCAAATTCAATATAAAATATATATGTAAAGAAAAATCTAGTCAAAATTCTGTAACTTTAATTGTTTGTTACCAAAGAGTAGACACTAATTGTTTTATTCCAAAGTTATATGAGGGAATTAATAGCGTGTTTATCGTAATACTGTTAAGTAAATCTAATTTTTCTGTCATTAACGTAATATATTTAGAAAATCTAGTACAAAGTTGTTTTGTCTGACAATAAGACATGGTTTGCTTTATCTTAATAAGCTACAAAAAACCAACTCACTATACTACATAATATGACGGAGTAACAATAAAATTGCGTACTAAATAAGAACAATTAGTGAATAGAGAATGTGGGTTGGTTTCTTGTAAATTTTGATCACGGCGGGGACATTGCCGCGCCCCCCTTATGTCCCTTAACATACCCAGATGGGGCGCACAATGTGTTCATGTCCGTGTCCCCAACGTTACTATAAGTGTATTGTGAATTTTAATAACTTTATTGTGCCTCTTAAATAATGTAAGAATATCGTCTTAAAATTATTAACTTCCAGTCGAGAGTGTGCAAAAAAAAGAAATTATATGAGCGAGCGTTATATCCTATTTCTTATTCGTTCTTCCACTTTTCAATTTTATTAGTTTATTTATAAATTGTTGTAACAGTTTAATATATATGTTTATATTACATTTATATTAAAAGCGCGCGTGTGCTTATTTTCTGTTACTCGTTCTTCCACTTTTCGTAATAATTATTTTAAAAATTTGATTATTAAAGATGAATCATTATTTTAATACATGAAGCGATGAATTTGTACCCCTTTTTAAGGAAATTAAAAAAAAAACTAATCTACGGGAAATTTGACAGTCAAAATTAATGCAGGAAAGAAATGCCTGAAACTATTTTAATCAAAAGTAATAAAAATACTTGAATTATATCTTATTTCGATCAAAAGGCGAACTCTAATACAAGTTAGTTGTTTGGAATACAAAATGGCAGATAAATTGGGGTGCATACTATTGTTAATGTTGTTCCCCTTTATTGTCACATTTCTCTGTTTGCACAAACTCAAAATTTCTTGTATTTGCATTGATGTAATGAAATTTCTCAGGACTTTCTCCTCACTTGGACTTATTATTTGTGACGTCCATTTCTTTGGCCTGTTGTGTTCAATTAATAATATGAGAACTGAAGAGAATTCTAAATGCTGTATAGGCGAAATAAACTCTGAAATATATGTGGTTAAAATCTACATTAACCATAAGATGTCAAAAGTAAATATTAGAAAACTAACGTTAAAATTAAAATGAAATTATCCAAATTTAAATATTTAAAAAAATTAACGTTAAAACTATCAAAATTAATATATCTATAGAATCATAGATGCGTGTATAATTCAAATTATCAGCAAGAAATTAGTAATAAATATTAAATAAGCGTGAATTAATTTTGTAATTATCTACATTCAAGCTTACTATAGATAAACGAAGCTTTTTCTTAGATCAATACTGACCTTTATAGTAGAAAAAAGTATGCTCGACTATATTTATTATTGTTCACTAATTCACACTTTTTTCATATATTTATAGCCTTTAGTAATTTTTGAAAGTGATCAAAGTTACAGTTTATACTAGAACATTAAAATTGATATAAACTTTGTTCTTTTATATATCATCGCGACTAAATCTTGATAAACGCATTTTATGTCAAAGGTAAATCTTAAAAACCAAGTGCGAGACAATATCTGAACAATAACACTCACTTTCATAATAACTTTGAGCTATGTCTTACTCGTCATTTCGAAAATATCTTTATTGAATAAAAATAATTCCTATGTAGTGGCGATGAGTGGTGGACAGAGTTTATTCCACCATCATACCTTTAGTTTAGGCCATTTGTTGATTAGTGTCAACATTAAAACCATAGATGTATAATTTATAGATTCGGAGCACAAAAGAAAGGTGAAAAAAAAATTTGCTTAATCACATTTCTAAAATCGACTTACAGATGCACTCATATGGAACACTCCATCTATAAGTTATAAATCTATTAAGAAATAGTTTCAATAGTCCCAACGAAAAACATAAGTAAAAAGTCTGAATTTACCGAGCATTTTAAATATTGTAGAATTTTATTGGAGTTATATTGTGAATTACAAGTTTTGTTGTGCATATTCCTAAAGCAGTATTTATTTCAATGGGTGTTTATTATTACACCGAGTTTGATGTATTAGTTAGTGTATAGATATGGTTACATAGCTGAAAAAAATTATATGCGCTAATACTCGTGTTACTGGTGGCATGCCTATTAAAAGCAATTTATAAGCAATCTATTTTGGGCCTAATATTCAATAAATTATGTAATAGTTTTTGATCTTAAAATTACTTTGAATAACAAAGCAATATGTGATAAAGGAATTTGTGCATGATAGTCAAATCATCTTATATCTGTCAATTAACAATATGGTATACAATTTTAGCTGGTACTTTCAGGCTTTCTAAATAAATGAGTTTTGTTATATGTCACCAGTAGCGTCGACTGGTAGCTAGATTTAAAATCTATTTAACAATTATATTGGAGAGCTACAATTATATGTTTTATTACTATCAACTAATTTTATGTTATGTACATATTTTCAAAATTAATTTTACCTTTTTAAAACATAAGTCGTTCGGCCCACTTTGTATTCAATAGCATCGCAGAAGTGAAAAGTCAAAAGATGATGTTATTTTATGTATGGTATCTCTGCAGCTTAAGCTTTGGCTTAATAAAATAATTTTATATTGAGAAATATCACAATGTCCTTTTGCATGTGGCAACCATTGATATCAAGCTGTTAAATAAATTATTTTTAAACCTTCAATGTGTTTTATTCGTATTTTGTTTACTGATGTTGAGAGAAGATAATTACATGTAACAATCTTTTTGAGAAAACTAAGGAAACTGTATTAATTCAAATGTCCAGTCGAAATGGTAATGGTATAACATAGTGAGGTTTCCGATTATTATGTCAGGCTGTACATATATATACTATGATTTTGCTTTAAAAAACCCCAGACTTATTTGTAACTTCCGCCTTTTGGAAAATCTGTTAAAAGCGATTGCGGCGCTCCCGCGGTAAGATTTAAAAAGTTCTAATTCTCGGTCAAAATATTTCTTTGTTTTTACCTGTCATTTGCTAGCTAATAGAATCTGTGGCATTCTATAGAATGGACAAGTTAGAGCCAAATCTTGTCTTTTTTATTTTCGCCATTTTTCAACATATTTCACATATTTCAACTAACAGTAAGGGTATTATAATCGGAACAAAGTATCAGCTATTTCAAATCAACGACCTATCCATCTATAAAGATCAGTGTAGCAGAAAGAGAACGCGAGACGATAGAATGAGATGGATATTTCCACCACCACCACTTATAACCCCGTACAAAAATACAAATCAAATCGTAAAATATATATTTGTTATTTGAACTTTTGGCAGATGAGGCCGGTCGTTATTGCAAAAAGAATATTGTTATAAGTCCGTAAAATAGTTACTTTGAAATGTATTTGCCTTTCGGGGTTTTACTATGTTTGTTGTGCCCGTCTTTTGGTGAAGTTTCAATAAAATATGCAGCTATCATTTATAGACACGGCGATAGGACCCCGATTGATCCATATCCAACAGATCCATGGCGAAACGAATCATTATGGCCCGCTAGATTCGGTCAACTTACGAATATCGGTAAAAGACAACACTATGCTTTAGGACAATGGTTTAGGAAAAGATATTCTGTAAGTTTAAGATACCAAAGTGGAATGATATAACCATGTGCTCCATTGTTAACATATGCCTATTGTTTTCAGAATATAATCACAGATAAATACGACTCGAAGAAGGTACATGTTCGGTCAACAAATGTAGATCGTACCCTAATGTCGGCTGAAGTGAATTTAGCAGGTACAGTGCTTTTTTAAAATGGATGCGGAGATGTTTACCCATGTGTGGATTTCTCTCAGCCTTAGCCTAGCTGTGACCACCTTGAGTAAAATAAATTTTTATTTAACATTTCTTACATTCCAGGTATGTATCCACCTGCGGGTAAAGAAGTATGGAATGATCATTTGAACTGGCAACCAATACCAATACACACAAGACCTGAACATGACGATGAAGTGTTAGCAATGAAAAGAGAATGTCCACAATATGATGTTGCAAAGAAAAATTTTATCAATTCCAGAGCATATGAAGATCATTTGAGTAAATATGAAGAGCTAATGGAGTAAGTATTGGTAACAAATAGTATTTATATATTTAAGCCTGTTTACAGAACAGTGCTGTTTAACACATGCCAAGACAAAACAGCACCATTTTAACAGGTTATGTTTATATATTTTGCATCTGATAGAATTTAATCATGTTTATTTTGTAAATTTTAACCACATGTGTTTCCAGATATTTGACAAAACATACACTGAGAAAGATTAAAGATTTTGAAGACATTAATGATATTTATAATATTTTGTTTATTGAAAATTTGTATAATTTAACATTGCCTAAATGGACACAATCAGTATATCCGGAGAAACTCAAAGAACCAGCTTGTTATAGGTGAGTTTTGTACATTATATTACAACTAAAAGAAAATTGATGATTATGTATACTCATCTATTCTTGTATATTTTATATGTAGAATATATAATATTAATGTATATAATATTAAGTAGAAAAAAGTTTTAATTGCATCCTCCAAAACATGTCTCCAAAACAACTGTACATATTAAAAATTCTTTTGCTGTTATAGAAGTACATTATTACTGAGTGACATTGGCTATATTTTACATTAATTGGTAGGGTATAAATTTGTCAGAAACAAAAACATGAGAGATATATTATCTTTGCCGTCTAGACGAAGCAATGGTGGATTGCTAGTCATGAATACATATAATTTCCAGATAAGGAGGAATAAGGCTAAATACATAATTTGATAAGTCTTAGTCAATTTGGTACACAATGAAATCCAAAATGGCTGGTTGATAATAATTGTTTTGATAATTCCTTCATAACAACTATTTATCTAAATGTATTAAGTTACAATGTAATTAATCTTTTTTGTATTGTAATATTTTGCTTGTATAATCGTTTACAATTGCATTCTTTGTACTATGAATATTATTTTGATATTACAAAGTGGCAAACAGACAAACTGCCTGAATTTGTTGATTTAGCAAAGTAACCACTGCCCGTAGACCTCCATAATTACAACTTCAAATTTCCTTTAAACAACAGATACGGGGGTTAGATATAAAGAGGATATTTTCCCCTTCTGTCTAACTAATAGTGTAATATTCTTAGTTGATAGTAAGTTTTATATATTATTTCAGTTTTTCAATAGCGACTGCAACACCGCAGATGGCTCGCTTATTAGCTGGTCCTCTCTTGAAAATAATAGTAAATGATATGTTAAATAAAATGTCAGAGAAACCGGATGCTCTTACTATGTCAATATACAGCGGCCATGATTTTACAATAGCTAATATTCTATCTGCTCTTGGATTATTTGATGGAAACTGTCCTTCATATACATCTACAGTTATATTGGAACTGTTACATGGTAAGTAGTAAAATGATAAAGTATAAGTTTTTTTTGTATAGTTACATTAAGTTTCTTATCATAGAAACTATAAGGCTAGCTTTCACCCTGATTCCATTGGCATGGAATTATAAATAATTAAAGTTTGTAGCCTATGTGTTCTTCCAGAATAGCCTTTACATCTATGCCAAATTTCATCGATATCCATTCTGTAGTTAAGGCTTCTAAGTAACAAATATTCTTCCATCCTTCCAAACTTTCACATTTAAAATAATAATAAAAACTCATGCACGTTTTTTATCTCTTTTTCATTAAAATTTTAAATAATCTTCAGTTATTTCATTATTTTTACAGATAAGTCCACTCATGACTATTATGTAAGAATATCGTATAGGAATACAACGGAAATTGTCGAGCCACTCATCCTTAATATACCTGATTGCGGTAAAATGTGCCCCATTCAGAGGTTTATTCAAATATATGACAATATAATTTCAGTTGACTGGGTTTCGGACTGCCAAGTTAAGGTAACCTACAAAAACATTATACAGCGTAATTGTTGAGTAACTAAGGATACTGAAAGGAGGTACTCGGTACTTGATTTTGTTTAAGATTATGTAATAAAATTATTTACATCATAATCCAAATTTACCTGTAAATAAATGAATTGTTGATATGTTAGAGTAAATTAGCTTCCCCATTACAAGGTGTATGCAATGAATAAGTATACAACCATTCTGTGTTAGCGCACCATGTACCAGTGTGTTATGATAAGGTTGCGTAATTAAATAACTGTCAGTTGAGTTTACTGTTTTGTAAATTAGTATTTGTTATTATCTTTTTTCTTCCTATGGTCTCCAAAAAACCGATTCTCCAGTATCGATATTAGTTGAACACTCACCCTGTATAATCTTGCAACTGTTTACTTTGGGAATCTCCTCTATGTCTATTATTGGACAAATTTTATATTTGTCATCTATATCTCTTACAATATATATTTTTGTTCCAGAATAACAACACTTTAATTATATATTTCTTTGTAACGATTCATATTTTCATCTTTATTCTGTATCTACAAGATAATTATAATGATGTTATCAAACAAGAGAAGGTGAGTTAAGAATAAAACTTCATTCCTCTCAAAAATTTTATTTTTAAAGAGAAATTTTCTTAAAGCGGTAACAACTTTTTGTGTTAACTTTGCATGTGCAATTTCGCTTCACTTGATCTAAATTGTCATTTCCTTTAAAGCTAAAATTTATCTAGTAATGGCAGTCACCTAAAACATATTTATGAATATTCTGAATAATAAATTATAAGAATGTAGGATTGGTAGCATATTTGTGCCCAGATTATGTTCTATGTTTATGCCAAATATCATAGAGTTCCGTGGAGCAATTCTGGAGGTACATGGTAAAAAATAACCATTCATCTAAACTTTTGCATTTATTATCTTAGTAAGATTTGAAAGACTAAAGCCCTGTCCCGCCAAAATATCGTATTTTGTTACCTTATGTGATAGTGACAGAATTTTTAAGCTATCTGATGCTCTAACAGCCAGTGGTGGGACATGCCCTAACTATTTAGTGTATAGTTACTATGTCCAGCAATGGGCAGATAAAGGCTGATGATGATGAAAGATGATAGGAATTATCATTTTTATTTAATATTTTCATAAATCTTATCTTTCAGAGGAATGAATTAGTCAGAAACAGAAGTATAGCAACAGGCGAAGCCACGACTTGTTTATGCCCAGATTTGGAACATAATGTTGATGCTAATAATGTTGAAAATCCTCAATTGTTACCGTGGTTTAAAGTCATGTAAATTTATCTGGAATACGAGGCTCTTGCGACTGACAATGACAAGACAATAGGCAATGTGCACATTTTTTATACCTTATTATTATAAAAAAACATACCTATATAGATTTTAAATTATAATATGGTTTAATTTTATAACTGCTGCGCCAAGTTCTAAAACGCAGCGCTGTTGTTCGAAGCAAGTGACGGGTAGATTGAATCACTTTTTAACTTTTAATAACTCAGAACCAATCAAATACTTTGTTGTTTGGTGACGTCACAACTCTCCGGCACACTCAGACCGCGTTTTAATCGCACGTAATTTATTTCAACTTTATTTTATCTTTTAGCTCAATGGTTGTTTTTTTTATGCCTTATTTTCTGGTTATCTTATAACAAGTAGAAACGTTGCAAAAGATAAACAAAAACATATTTCCAATAGGGACAATAGTCCGACTAGGATTTTGTGACACTCTTGAGATAGACGTGGAGTTTAAGTGCTGTAGTTTTTTAGTTTCGTTATGCAAAAAGTGCCAGATAAGTTTTTTTTTTTATAACATGAGGTGGCAAACGAGCAAGCGGCCACCTGAAATCGCCAAAATGGCGAAGCGACCGCTGCCCATAGACATCCGCAATTGCGGATGCGTTGCCTACCCTTATCCGACGGAGGAGGAGACGCACATAAAGAGGCTATTTCCCCTTCCTATGCATCTCCTCCACTGTCAAATCCACTTCCTCTTCCCAACCTCTCTTTATAAGAAAAGGGTGGTAAAGAGAAAGGGACTTAAATTAGGCCTCCGGCACCACACTCACCAGACGAAACACGAAATTGTTTCCATTTGACGGCTGTCTTCTGTGTGGTCATGGTATTAGTGGGGGCGTGCCGGCCCTGCACTGCTAACATGTTAAAGCGGGCACTACCACTGTTAAAGTTTGTGACTACGAATTTTTGTTGTACTTGATCTTATATTTTGTTTTGTATGCATGTTAAAACATTGAAAAATATCTCGACCAAAACATCCAACCAAAGTTGCATTTACTTTGCAAGAGAAACAATGATTGTTGAGCAAAATGCAGTATTGAAATGTACTTAGATATTGATGTATGCATACATAGCATAAATAGTATGTTTTAAGTGATCTTGTACGTTAAGAAGAAACTAAAATTAAAATTTCATTTAAATCTAAAATGTTATAAAATTGAATTTTTAAAAAGATCTCGTTAGATAATATTTCAATTAATATAGCTATATTACCTAATCAAAGAAATCGATTTATTAACCGTTATTAACTAGTAATAAAAGTTAATTTTTGCAGAAGAGTTTAAATATGACTGATGTTTGATGAAAGGTAAACATGGAGGGTATGCTAAAAAAATATTTGCGATTATTGTTTTATGTAAGTTTTCTATTTTTAATAAAGTTTTATTATGTGGAAACATTATGAATTTTTATTGTAAATTTTTTTTCCATATTCCTTTTGCCGAAAGTGGAACTACGAATCCATAAAATGATTACTATTATTGCCAGAGTGAGCCGACCTCACTTGGTTGTACATTTTTTCTTAACATAATCATTATACCATAGATGCACATCAAGACTTTGCCAGTTAAGATAAGCAGCAACAAAGACATTTTCTCATATCGACTTTCTTCTTCGATCATTTAAAACCTTCTTCAATCCACAACAGAGTAAATTGGGTCCACAGGATAGAATAAATCCATATGTCATCCATCCTATATATCTGTCACTATCAAATAATCAAAATAAATTTTTATAAACGTTTCATGATTCACCAATGTATTATACATTATTATTATTATTTATAACCCTTTATAAAAATTCAATTGCATTACAAAAAGATGGAGATAAAATAATTATGCAGCCAGTAGAGTTAATTGATCTGGTGATACAGGAACAGATGAGAAGCGATAGGCCTGCTATTCGACGACGATATAAAGAAAACGCCAAGACCGCGATGGATGCTCTCGGCAAAATTGAAGTACAAACAGGTAACGTAACACTCACGCCCCCAAATGGAACGGTTAAAGAGAGATTGCAAGTTTCTATCTGTCGCAATCCTTGCAAACCTCACTTACATCCTTAAGAAAGAAGGGAACATATTTACAAAAAACTGACTATTGTACCGGTGGTAATCCCACCAATACACTTCCTATACCAATCCCTCAGTCCAATAAAGACTAGCGTAGGTAGTTGCAGTCTCCGTTGTAGTCCATTCCAGTCAGAATAGTTTTTCGGTATTAAAATATTGCTGACGACAATTCACATTGGGTTAGTATCGGGTGACTATCATAGATATCCTAGGCATTGATGGAAATTTTAAGAAAATTTTAACTGAGGCACACGAGAATCCTAATTTTGCGACATGCTTTGTTATTAACTTTACTCATAGCGACAATAAAGGTTGCTCTTGCTTTTTGATTCTGTAAGTTCACTAAGGTCGCAGTTTAATTATTGTGACTCGATCGTAATCGATGCGATGTGCATACTGGGTCAGGCGTTGGGTAACAACTATGTCTAACAGTGGAGAGACAGGCTGATAATAATGATGATTGTAATCTGGTTTACGTATGACAGAAGATATCAGCGGTGATGAGGAACGGTTACGTGCGCGTAAGGTGTGGAGTCGGTGGGGTAAGTGGAGCGATTGTTCGGCGACATGCGGGGGCGGCATGATCGTGCGGCGCAGGCTGTGCGTGGCGGGGCGCTGCGCCCCCGGCGAACTCGAGGAGCAGCGGAGACCCTGCGCCGAGTCGCCCTGTACCACCACCTCCTATGAACTCGGACCCGAAGACATGCGCGAAGTCGAATAAACTCGTTATCTTAATTTACCACACAAAAACAGACTATGTTCTCGTATAATGGATCACAAATTTTGTATAAATTATGTTGACATGTGATAATTAAATTATAAGAAGTAATTAGAGGTATGTTCTATTCTTCTCCTTATTAACATAAAACAATGATGTCATTATTATAAATATTTGTAGTCGTGATGTGGCCACCTGTTAAAATATTGTTCCTATAGATTCATTCATAATTTTTATTGAGAATTCCACAAAACCTTCATGCGGTAGGCAACTAACATTTTCATAATTGTTTTGTATAATTTTAAAAGGAGTAAATTTTCTCATCTGATGTAATAACATTCGTTACACGATGTGAGAATGTATGTTTTACTATTGCTAACAATAAGATTGAACATAATAAAAGCCCGCCTCGGCTTAGAATATGATTTTATTTTAAAACGGGTATCGATAACTGCGTCGTCCGCCGGCTGTGAGCTTGCGAGAATGATTACGGAGTTGTGTCTTGTTCTGAGAATCGTGTTGAATAGTAACCATCAACCTACTCGTCTGACAGTGGCTTCATGCGGAGGTAAACAGACATATTCTTCGAAGTACAATTTTCTTTACTCGAGTGTGAAATCAATTTTTTTCCGTTATTGTAATCGCGAAGTCAATCAGGGTAGTATCTTTGATACATTTAGTTATTTAACGTTTGCAAATTAGCGATGCATTCATGTTTATTAGCGACGTTATCTGTTTTCTTTTGTGGGACTGACTTTGTGATGAGTAAATGTAAGAAAATGTTCAATATTATTTTGTTAATATTAAATTTTAAATATATATGTTTAATTTTACATTTGTAAAATGTATTTTGTATAATCAATTTCTTGTTTTAATTTAGCACAGGGAGGATCTCAAGAAATTGTACAACCGCAAAGAAAATTTAAGCTACCAACAAAGGATGAAATACTACTTTCTTCGGACACGTGGGAAATAAATCCGAATTTGAATTCAATGTGGACGTATCGGCCAGCACCAATTGTGAGTAAAATTAGACTTGTAGTTACAGAATTTTATTCACATGTTAAACATTAATTTATGTAGGTTGTTTTTGATTATTTTGTACAAAAATGTATGAATTACCGCAACAAGTAGACCATCATTTCGAGATTACTTAATCTGTTAAAAAAATTTAAGTCGATATTTACGTGGGTCAACAAAAAATCTTACATCAAGCATCGTCTAGTAGTCTAGTAGTTTAATATAAATCTGTTTGTTGTCTATAAAAATAGTGAAAAAAACAGAGTCTGTTAGTAATAACGAAAATTTCATATTTCCTGCAAATGTTATATTTTTATATTTTTATCCGTACGCGTGTAATCTCATTTGTTTTGTGTAATCCCCGAAATGGTTGGACCGATTTTGGTGGGATTTTTGATGAAAGCTAATGCACGCAAGAACAACATAGGTTATATTTATTTGAATTCCCCTCTGACGGATTTATAAGCAACAGTTACTTGTATGTTTTTATGACTTATAGTTTATGTCACCTTGTTTACCCAGGTGATATCATATAGATGAATAATTTGCTGTGGTATAATATCCTTTGTTCACTACGGTAATCCTAGCTAATTTCCTTTGAATTGGGGCGATTTGGTCTCTAACCATTAGTTTATTCTTAAACTAGCTATTGCCTGCGACTTCGTCAACACAATATTAAGTAACCTATAATATGCCCGTCTATATCAGCTACCCTTCAGTGAAAGTCCGGTCTAAGTCGGTCCAGCCGTTTCAGAGATTACCTGGAACAAACGAGGCTTGCGGACAGACAGACAAAAAAAAATTAAATGCGATTTTCGTTATCATCAATTCATATAAATCATCTTCCCGAAATCTGGGATTTTTCTTTTGATATTACAGACAATCCAATTTTTTTATGCATAGATTCTTACTTTATATTTAGGAGATTAAAGTAGGAAGTAGCAATTTAAAGTGGAATTAATATGAAGATTGAGCGTATCAGTATTTTTTTAGAACGAAAATCTTTAAACATTAAAAACGTACCCGGCATTTGATTTGGCACGTCAGGAACAATAATACTATGATGATCGACGTGCCAACTCAAACACTGAGTAATATAACATTCCTTACAGCAGTCACAACCAGAAGATATGTTGCCACGGAGAGTTGTGTTAAAAACACCCCATTCTTTGACGAGGCTCGCCAAAACGTTTGCGTTTGGATTCGAACCCTTTTTTGATAAGGTAAAGATTCATTTTTCTATAATTATTGGAAAAAACCATACGTTGCCGCAAAGTGACAAATTATGACGAGTGCGAAAATCCATGTATGATTCAGACGTGTATGGTAAGAAAGTATGATACTATTTTTGCTTTAAATTTAATGGTCTAATTCGTCCTTGCGACTGATTAAAATTATTTGTATTACTTGATTTGATTTGAATTTATGTTAGTATTTTATTTGCACTGGACGAGCGAGGACTGGCCTATCATGACCTATAAATCTTTTGATTGTTAGAGCGGGCGCAAACTTTTGACTGATCGCACAACAGTTGGGCGATAGTTTAGTTTTAGATGTGCCCACGCTTTTAGCGTAGGGGTGCACCAACACGAGAAAATAAATTAATTGTAACTAATGTATTTATGTTTCAGGACTTCTTTGAGCCATTCGAAAGAAGACAAAGACCGGTAACTCTGATAACTTTTAGAAGAAATGGATTATTACCTAGAATCATCAATAGGGTGGAGGTAAAAAGATTTTTTGAGACTAACTTTGAAAGAATTACAACAGGCTTTGAGAAGCAAATAACGGATCTATAGCTATATCTGTTTCTGGAGTAATGTTTCTTAAAGTTCTTTCGAAAATTACCTTTCGAGATATTATGTCGTACTTTTAATTACACTTAGGTAACGAAAAGTTTTTTTTTTAATAAACAATATTTTGATGACAAAGTGCATATATTTTTAGGCCAATTGATGGGTAGATGTTTTTAGAACGAATATAGAGTGTACATATTATATGCATGTAGAGTACAATAGTTTTAATTAGTTCTCGACTAAGCGCCTTAAGTCCTACAACTAACTGCCACTAAAAGAGTAATCATTTAGAGCTACTGCGGTGATAAGTTTTCGATCTATAGTACGAGAAACTTGTCTATACAGATATGTTGAGTTCAATGTAACATAAAGGGCTTAACAGACTGAAAAATGAGGTGCATGTGTGACTTGACTCTTATTCTCAACAGTGTCGCGTTTATTGATTTTTAAACTCACCAACAAGTCCTTATTTATTTTCAATAAGAAAGTTTGTGCCGTGCAACACGATGGGAAACTTTGTTAAATGTTGTACATATATAAGTTTTAACGGCACTAAAAGTAAATACACTTATAACACAAATATAAGAATCGTCTTATCATAACTTAAGAAAATATTCAGTAAAAAAGGAATCCAATCTCTAATGTATTATTAACGTTATGTAATTATGTATTTTATGCAATACTTCCTTGTTTTATTCCAGAGCACAACTAATCCTGAAAACAAAATCGCTGAACTCCAGTCACCGTTTAACGAAATCGGTAGTTATTGGCAAGAAGATCCAACGTTTATGAATTTTTAAAATCCACTCATATTACATTAAGTTTTTTTACAATGATCTTTTTTCAATAATAAACGTGTACTTAATCTGTTTCTTTTAATTTAGTTGATTAAATTATTTCCCAGCTAAATACATATATTTTAAAGACATTTTCGCTCTAAAGGGTAAAAAATGTACATTTAGTACCCTTCCCGCTGTTCCACCTACAGAAAAAATGCCTTGTTCCTTGAAATGACACAGGCTTGGAAGAATATTTGATTCCCTAAATATTTAAAAACTTACAGTTATGCTGTAATGCTTCCACTATGAGATTCGCGTAGAACTGTACATTCAAAACAATGATAGTTAGTTGAAAATAACTTCGTCGTCGTTAGTGACTATAAAAATGTAGTTCTCACGTTTATGCTAAGTGTTTGTATTTGTAATGTCCAATTAACTGAATAATGTAACATTAAGATCATATGGTATGTCAAATGTATGTAAAATATTGAAAGCATAAGATTTTTTTAAATAGCTCTCTTTACGTATTAATCCAGTGAATAGAACGATAAAGTTCCGATTCCATTCTACGGGATCCCCCCCATTGCCTTCATTGTTACACTACAATTTTAGTTTTCATTGACGAAACCCCACACAATAGTGTTTTATTTCATTTTATACTACTAATTCTCTTTGAGTAAATATTATTTAATCTTACGGTGTGCTTTAGAATTCACGTCGAATTATTGTATAATTGTTATTTTTAATATTCTAAAGTTTCGTTATTAAAATTGAAAAGGTCTTTATTATGGAGTTAGAAGTTTCTGGGAAGATAAACTTTCAAACACGAAGTATGTTAGAAAGGAAAGCGAGACAAACCCTGCAAGCAGACGTTACGCCCATGGCACGCCTTCGGGACTCGTTACAGTCGTCTGTGGGTTTTACAAAAACGTTTACTAAAAAGTATACTCTTGGGATGAAAAGGGGAAGCTATTTTGCAAGAGGGAGGATGGACAAGTAGGGGAAATTTCCCTTCGATATTTTAGCGAAAACAAGTGACCGCTTGCTCATTTATGGCCATGTTTTACAATAAAACCTGTCTTTCACAGTGCTTATCCGGTCTTAGTATATTTATCGAATTTTTGCCTCCTCACGAATTCATCGGTCTTCATGTAGGTTAACCAATGTTATAGGTTGCTATACTCCATTCAATTGAATTGATGGGGGAGGCCTACGTACAACAGAGGGCGACCTTAGGCTGATGATAATAAATATTAAATAATAATTAAGAATCTATCGTGTCGGAGGTCAAGACCCACTTTGGGTCCCTGCGCCAACGCAGTAAGTAAGATTAGCAGTTTTGGTCTACTGTGAACATGGATTACTCTATACAGCTTACTTTAAGATCACCTATAAGTTAAGTGTAAAAATATCTTTAGTTTTCTTTAATACGAATTTGTCAGGTATAAACTACTGTATTGGTTTCTAGATTAGATTTGATAAGACCTTGAGCAAGTATTGTAAGCTTTACAGATTTCCAATTATTCGGCGTCACAAATATTATCAATGAAATTGTATGTAGAAGCTAAGTACATATCGCTTGTTTGATCATATGTTATTTAATGGATTCGCGAAATGTGTTAAAAAATCTGTACTTCATCACATGTAGGATTCAGACGCCAAGTATTCTTTCGTTTTTAGATCACGTTACATATATCTTAGAAATAAATTGGTCTAATTTAAAGAATTATCGGCAAAACTAAAACATACATAAGAATTTCAATGATTTTACAAAGTGTGTAATCACACTAATCATGCTCATACTAACATTATAAATGTGAAAGTTTAGATGGATGGATGTTAGAGTTTGTAGCCTAAACTGTTAAACAGATTTTGATGAAATTTGGTATACATGTAGAGGATAGTCTGGAACAATACATAGGCTATTCACTTTCGTTTTTTTTAATAACCTAACTTTACAAACTTCATTATAAATCATATGAAGATGAGGACAAATGTCATTACATTTGACAACATGTCATTTATTTTGTGACAATTCGTGATACATGAATTCTTGTGTATTGTTGTGATTTTATTGAAACGTAACATTTTATTATGTGAATGGTTAAAGTCAAGTGTTTTATTCAGTTATTAAAAGATATTAAATATGAAATGGGCGCGATTCCTGTTCGTATATTCCTTGATTAATTTTGACTATCAGTGTCATTAATATTTATAAAATTGTATTGACTTTAACATAATTAATATGAAGACGAAAGTTGTTATAAATGTATATTTTCACTGGAAAAAGCCTTTTGTAAAAAGGTATATACATATACTTTTTTAATAGTTTGAAACGCGCGCAAATGTCATCCATATTGTTTATATTATTTTTGTCTTCACCACTTGAGTCTTTAGAGACTCTTCGTGGTCATCACTTGTATTGCTTACCTGCTGTTTACTTCACAATAATCAAGCACGTAAAATAAAAAAGTATCTGTCTGAATTTTTTCTTATCACAAAACGATGAGACTACAAGTACGAGTAGTAGTATCTATTCTGTACCCATATCATACTTATTGTTATTTATTTATCCTTGTAATTTAGAATGTCAGTAATCACAGCATAATCTTAAATAACAATTTTATTTAATAAGTAAACCCCACAATTAGTACACTTTTTAGGCTAAGCATTACAAGCAAAGAACGAAGCTTGCCATGGTTACTTAAATTCTCAGAATTTTTACAGAATGTTAAAATAAAATTATCTTATCTTACTTCTTACTAATATTATAAATGCGAAAGTTTAGATGTATGGATGGATGGATGTTTGTTAGAGTTCGTAACCTAAACGTCTGAACAGATCTCCATGAAATTGGCCACAGATGTAGAGCATACTCTGGAAGAACACATAGACTACTTTTTATCCCGAAAATAGTTACGGTTCCCGGGGGCGTCATTAATTTTGTTTTTTAATGTTTACTCAATAATTCTGCAACGGTTCAACATATCTCATTGAAATTTGGCACATATATAAAACAAAGTCTGGATTACAGATGGGATAAGGTTTATCCCCGAGAAATGTCCGGTTCCTGAGGGATACGTAGCTTTTTATTTATATAGTTCGTATGTTTTCTAATACCACGCGGACGAAGACGCGGGCAACAGGTAGTATATTATAAAAGCCAGACGGGAACAGGTAGTAGTAAATAAAAGTAAACTAAAATTTTTCCTCTTTTTTTCGCGTTGCTTTTTATGGGCGAGGTTTGTGACCGTACATTAAGGCACGTGCAGCTTGAACTGAAGACAAACGGCCAGTATAACATTTGCATCTATTCAGTCGGCAGCACCTTGCAGCGGGTAAGCATGGAGCTTGTGTGTGCGTACATAGTGATGTTAGGTATGTAAATTGTGAGAAAAATTCATCGAGGACTCGATTAAGTGATTTGAGGGCGAGGAGATGACTAATGGGTGTTAACTTTTATACGGTATTAACTTGAGTATTTCGGCACTTTTCGTTGTCTACTGTTTTTAACTGTCATATACGAGGCGAGGGTTGGCATTGAACACCGTAACACCGCTAACTCGGAAAGCAGCGGTGTTCTGTAAACTTCAAGTGAACCATTCGCTTTTCTGTATACCCTTTCAGAAAACATATTAAAGCACACCATTAAATAGCCGCTGGTCCTATAAATTACAATTGAAGAAAAAAAAATAGAAAAATGCAAACAACATTTTACATTGCAGGAAGTTTATATTACAGTTTGCAATCCTTCGTAGGATTGTTTGGATTATAATTAAGTTTATTCAAATAGATTGAATGTTTTGTCTGACGTATCACGAAGATCAAACATGATGGAGATTTTCTGTTTACTGTCAAGTATTTTACTTTCGAACTTTGATTGAATGGTATCAGTGTAACTTGATTGGTTTGCGTTTGAAACCTGCGCCGCCCGCCATTTCTTAGTCGACACCTGCGCACACATGGGGTTTTACATTCAACAATATACTTATTAATTCTGCATTGTTGAGTGACATACGGCACTCTTATGTTATTGTACGATTCGTTCACAATACCAGTGTGTCTCTATGTACGCGGTGTGTTAGTCGTGCGCCATCCGCTTCCGATGCGCGCCGATCGGAAAGAAATGTGTCTATCAGTACCAAGTTAGTCCTTCAGTTCGCTCTAATTGGTCCTGGATGCGGCCGTGCCGCGCCGTCGCTGCCGGCGTCCCACGCATAGTACAGTTCACCTGTTGAATACTTCATCTCGATTTTAAGGTAGAATATACTAAATTTACAAAAAGATTTTTCTTCATAATTTGAGTTATCATACCATAAATAGGAAAATCACAGTTTTCTTTTGAGGAAATTTTCATAGTTTACTAAAAATATCTCAGTGGTGTGTTTGTTATTCTGGTTTTAGTGTGTTTATATTAATTTCAAGGACAATAAAATAATCCTGTAAGTAATCGCCGTGTTTTTTAAGTAATGGAAAAAAATATGTATGAAACGCACATATATTGTATCAGATTTAACGAAGGGGGGAAATTAAAAGTCAAGTCTTACAAACCTAAGTAAAAAGTGTCGTAAAATAAACAACTTTGCGCTTGTATTAAATTAAACTTCAATAGATTTTTTTCATAGTTTATTTGTGAACGCTTCTTCGTTAATATTTTATAGAGATGTGTTTTTACAATTAATTAAATTCTAGAGCTCGAGAATAATTTCACGGCAAAATTGTTCTAATTATACGTAAATAACGTTATGATAATATTTATATCCATATAAGATTTGTAGTCAAGACATTTCTTAACCTACGGGAATTTAGTTAGTTACCTACTTTCATAAAAGTGTTGGGGCCTGTCCCACCACTGGCTGATAGAGGCTCAGATAGCTTAAAAATTACGTCACTGTCAGATAAGCTAACAAAATCCGATATTTCCATCGCATATTTTACACGTTGCATAGTTATCAGACAATATGGGACAGGCCCTTGCTATTTTTGAGTTTATAATGTAGTACTAAACGTTCCATACAATAATTTCTGTTTCTTGAATACATACACTCGTTTTTTACCCAAAGAGCTAAGAAATTGCAGATTAACATTGGCGTTTGCAATTTATCATTTAATCCAATGAAAATAATAATAACGCTACTTGGTTATTGCAAAAACCGGAACTTTGGCAAGGATCCTGTTAATCATACTAATATTATAAATGCGAAAGTTTAGATGAATGGATGTTTGTTAGATTTTGTAGCCTAAACGATTGAACTGATTTCAAAAAGAAGCCAGGCATAATTTTGCCTTTTTAATTCCACGCGGACGGTGTTGCAGGCGAAAGCTAGTGTTATCTTAAACGATTTCATCATGATAAAGTACATAAGATGTGCATAAATGTTATTTGCCACAGAGCTTTAAAGCTCACGCGTGTCGCTGTGACTGATCGTTGTTCTGTGGACATGAAAACTATACTCTGTGATAATTATTTGTGTGCAGCGAAAAGAATACAATGGCATTTAATGTTTATTAATCTAATCTCGGCTTCTTAATTAACATTGGACGATTACCTAATTTTACATTCTCACCCCAATAATTAATGGTTGTGATCTAGGGCTTACTTTGTTTCAAATACTGTATCCCTTTAGTCTGTACCATGGAGTCTTACTGCCGCATCAGATTCGTTTTGTGATCACTAAGGGTGACCCTTAGTTTAGGTACCAGCGGTCGCCTTAGACATCGTCAGCGAGGATGATAAAAGTTCCCAATTTTACTCCGGTACAGACAACTATCTTCCCGTAAAAGTCCCGTCAAAATTCGCCCAGCCGATTCGAAGATTACCGCGGATTTACGGACTGACACACAGATGAAAAGATTTAAACTTATTTTTTCGTTATACGCATCGTAGATAAATGATGTTTAAGTATTTACTTATTTATTAATTTAATAGTTTATTTATTTATTTATTTACTTATTTATTTATTGAAGTGCAACTACAACGTATACATATATTGGTTACATACAAGGTTGCTGCTTCAGCAAAGGCAGCATGTGCTACTAGGGCCCCCTCGGGGGTATTAAAAAAAACATATAGTTACATATATTATACACTTACAATTAGTTCACAGTATCGTTATTATATATATATGTAAATACTGGCGTACATAACATTTGCTAGTACTTATTTAATTAATAGTTTTGGGTTCACATTTCGTTTAAGTAACATGTTTTTTTTTTAAATTTAACATACAAACACACCAACTTTATTTTTTTTAATGTAAAAAATCTACTCGTAAGTACTGCTTAAATAATTAACTAGAAGCTTTCGCCCGCGACTTCGACCGCGTGTAATTAAAAAAAAATAAAAGTGAGTATATAGAGTGAGTAGCCTATGGGTTCTTCCAGACTATGTTCTAAGTCTTTGCCAAATTTCATTCAGATCCGTTCAGCCGTTAAGGCTACAAACTCTAACAAACATCCATCCATCCATCTATTTAGACTTTCGCATTTATAATAGTTAGATTATGCATGGTACGTAAGCTTAGTTCCGACAGTTTTAACTAATCGACTTTTCAGTCGAAACTGTCAGTTACGGGTCTTTATTAAAGTACCATAAAGCCCGCTACACACGTTACAATAAAATCTGCGCAGGAAACCTGAAGGTGTTAAGCGAGCTTAATATTTTAGCAATGTGAACTTTAAACATTTTAAATTGAAAGATTTTACATCGACAAATTTTTGTATTGGAAACAAAGCCATTTCCCCTGTTTATCGTTCATGAATCATTATAAGTTATGAAAGTGCTTTGAAGTTTCATAACTTAGGCGTTAAGTTATGAAACAATTGTTACCTATTTGAACTATGCGGACGATGGTAGCAATGAGAGGGACGAGAGTTGCTTTGCATGCACTAGTTAATTGTTTTGTATTTTCAAGTGTCAAGCTATTCTTTTACCACAATTCAAGTAGATATCATTAAGTTATTATTAGATTACTCGAGGACCGTGATTTGTTACAGGTATAGCGATAAAATAGCAACTCTGTGTTTAGAAAATAAGAAAACAAAGATTGTTAAACTTTTTTATATTCCAACTCACTTGAGAGTAACGTTTGTACCTATATGGTATTTCATGCTAATGAAATGCAACCGATGATTGTTGCTACTATACCATGATGAACCTTTATCTGCCCAATGCTGGGCATAAACCTTCCCCAGTGCCTCACACAGCCGGTTTCTCTGCTTTCCGCAACGATTGTCATATAGGTAATGTTTAAAAAAACGAGGGTCAACAGTCGATATAATATAGATTTTTATACATTTAATATAACGTCGTTCCACTTTCTGATAAAAATAGCAATAACGTAGCAGAACATCTTTATATTATTTTAAACGAGCTGTTGCCCGCAACTTCGTCCGCGTAGTATTATAAAACATACGAACTATATAAATTACGAATAGCTACGTATCCCTCGGGAACCGGACATTTCTTGGGGATGAAGCTTATCCCATGAGTACTCCAGACTTTGTTTTATATCTGTGCCAAATTTCAATAAGATATGTTGAACCGTTGCAGAATGATCGAATAAACATTAAAAAATGAAATTAATGAATCCCACGGAAACCGTAACTGTTCCCGGGATAAAAAGTATCCTATGTGTTCTTCCCGACTATGCTCTAAATCTGTGCCAAATTTCATGGAGATCCGTTCAGCCGTTTAGGCTAAAAACGCTAACAAACATCCATCCATCCATCTAAACTTTCGCATTTATAATATTAGTAAGATGGAAAACTTACTAGTACATAGTTACAAGAAATTAAATATTTTTCTTTAACCAATTATATAATTCTTTAACAGAATGTTACTTTACTTTTACACAAAACACTTAATTTTGTTAATGTACGAGTAAGTATTGTGGAATTAATTTGTCCTTATTAAAATGAAAAATCGGCAATTGGCAGCTGTTTATTGTTATTAAAAATGCATGATTTTTTTACCATAATATGCATTTTCATAAAAGTAAAATTGTATTTTATAAACAACTCAAAATATTGTATCTAAGCTAATCATTTGACCCTTTCAAATTACAAACTACATGATTGGTTACGCTACTTTTTGACGATTTTTTCCTAAAATAAGTATGCAGATTATCAGTTTAATTAAAACTAGACACTACCGGTTGTCAATAAAGCGTGCCTTTGTGACACTGCAACAAATATTTGGTTACCAACGAGCCTGGTTGGGCTGACCAGACACGGTAAACACAAAACGTATCTACACAATTTAACGTTCAGTCACACGTATTACAAATACCTGGCGAAATTGTAATTGATATAAAGCAGGGTTTCCACGGTACGTTGTGTGGGTCTATTCGCACGTCGTGAAAGCCCGCCTTTACGTCTCTAACACTCAATCGGGACAGCCAACACCGGATCTGGTTTGTTTTGACACTGTTTGGAGCAAAAAATATGTTGGTTCGCTTTCGCAATTACATGCTACAGACCTAAGGTTATTAGATAAATATTACATTTTGGAAGCATATCCAGTATTCCTAGTAGCCGGAAACTGACGTGCCCTGGCTCGGACATATCGACAGGTTCATGCCAAATACACGAAAATTAATATGAATTTAATTTTACTGCCAACATTTCATTCTGGTTACGTTACGTACAACGGAGGTAATTAATTTTGTACTCAGTTAATTTAAATTGTACCGCAATAGGAAGAAATAAAACAAATATTTATTTCTTTGAAATTTAATAGCTTTCGGATAGTTTTATTCGTTTTGTTACGTTAATATGAACTAAACTCCTTAGCTGTTTACTCACAACCAAGGATGGTTTTTGCATTACCAGCGCCAAAGGCTTTCTACGACACCCCTTTATCCCCAGTGCCCTGGGCGGTCGCCCTACCTCGCCATACCATAACACCCGTACGCCCCTTTAAAAAACGAAATAGGAACCAAAATACTTGAATTTAAAAGGTTTAAAATTCATTTTAATTATTATTAAAAAATCAAAACTTTTTTACACACCAATTTCTCCGTCCGTTAAATGTTAGGTAAATGCCAAAATTCCAAAGGTAAAGATTAGTGAATTAATTACGTAACATAGGCATATTTGGTCATTTTCTAAATAAACTAATTTGTAATGTTTTCATTAATTTATTATTCGATAAGAAAATAAATAAATGGCAGAAAGTAAACGCAATTGTTGTTTTTCTAAAGGTGAGTGGTTGAGGGCTTAGGCGTGGGATGCGCCTACGCCTGGCGCAAGAAGGAGCCTGTGCGTAACGTTCAGTCTGGCAGCAGCTATCGACGCGAATGCTTGTGTGTGCGACGCGTTTTTATATCGCATGTTGAGACGAACGCGAACACGAAAATGAGTAGTGGCAAGAGGAAACTATCGTTTTTGGGCTTCTCACCTCAGGTATGTCTACTAAATAAATAAATGCGAATGTAGAAAATGTAAAATCTCACATTGTAAGTACAGATATTTAGTCTCGATGTACTTCAGGTAGATATTGTTACAGTTAGAATTACTTTGTAATTCTTTATGTTTAATACCACCTACATTTTCGTAGTTACGCGATTTAAGCGTACATTTTCGTATTTTATATATCACTTCCAATTGGAATTTAATAAATCCTCATTTGAAATTATTGTAATTAATTTCCACATTTTGTACGCATTTTGAAACAATTTGCTTTTTGGGAGAGCATTTTAATGTAATTACTATATAATTCCCCGATTGCTTTTTACTATTTAATAACACATTTATGCGATAAATATATTATCTTTGTACACACGTTGAATTTGCGGTTAGTTGATTGTTTGAAGTTGCATTGGTTGGATGTATTTTTAAATACTACCCCGCTAGTATCGATTTTATAACTACCCACATATGAATTATTAACTTTATAGTTTTTCTAACGTCGGATAGAGTTTGGAGATTATGCGTTTTGCGACTTGTTTATTTGCATTGATAAGGATGCTTCCTATTTACAACTATTCAACATGGAGGTCTAATCAAAACTTTTATAATTGATAGATAGATCGTAGATAGATAGATCACAATGTCGCCTGCGTATGCGCATTCTTATTTGAATTCACAAGTTACTAGTAATTTATTATACTTCATACTAATATTATAAATGCGAAAGTTTTGATTGATGGATGTTTGTTAGTTTTTGTAGCCTAAACGATTTAACAGATTTCGGTGAAATTTGGTACAGATGTAGAGGATGGTCTGGAAGAACACATAGGCTATTCATTTCTGTTTTTTAATCCCACGCGAACTGAGTCGCGGGCGAAAGTTAGTAGTAATGTAATGCTATACTCTGAATCTATACATTGCACTAACTAATAATAAAGCGAAGCTAACGCCTAAGTGTTAATCAGCTAGTTCTTACCAACACAATGTTCTGGCCTTTCATGTGGTTATTATTTTTACCCCACTAATAAATATGATGACTGTAATTGTGGTTAAGCACTAGTTAGTTCATTGAAAACACAATTTTTGCATGGTCATAAACTGGACACGTGAAACCCCTTAGAATTTATTTGTGACAAAAAATATTTGTGATAATACAATTGGTTGTTTTTTTGCTTTTTTACCCTAACCGAAGTGTGGGTTGATGTTTTCTTGTTACTTTTTTTTGTACGGCATATTCAAAGAATTGTATCTTACGTGAGCACATAAGTACCTCTAATGAATTCCTCAGCTTGCTCTTAATATGGAATTTATTTTTCCCGGAATTTTTTTAACAATAGCGTTGAAAATATTTTTATCATAATTGCTCGTGTAACGTTCAAAGTCGAATGAAATATAGTCTAATGAGCAATGAAATGATTGCGTTATATAGACATGCCTCTTGGGGTTCTTGCGTTGTTAAAGAATAAAATCTTTCAGTAAGTTGGTACCATAACATTCTGCGAGATGGCTCTTCACATCGATTGTATAGAAATCTTAACCAAAAACATTCTCGTAAGTAAACTATATTGTGTCTATACATTGTATAATGTATATTATCAAAGAACGTGCATCTTTGACTAAACTATCGCACAACTGTTTAGTCGCGCTTTGATTCCTATGAGCTTATTTGAAGGTACGCACTCTATTTTTAGTTGTGCAACAAAACAGTTGAATTGGCTGTGAAACAATCGACAATCGCACAGCAGTTGTGCGCTTGCTTTTGTCTATTTTTACAAATCATATCTACAAACTAATCCTAAACAACAAATTTGTATGACATTATCACTTCATGATGAAAACCCGGTTGTTTGTCAGGTAATGTAAAGTAAAAATGATTTGATGAAGCAACCAAATCATTCGTCTCTATCTCCAAACTGCTCTAATCAAAATCAATCAATACATATGCCCGTGTTGCAATACTTCAAGTATCATGTGTCGGACACCGATCAATTGGAAGACTGTATAAAGTAATTTATAATGGTAATAATCAATCATTTATTATAACACCTTATTACTGATATAAGAATATAACTAATGGTTTCTCTTTATTCCAACATAATAACAAGGTTCTATAGCGTCAAAACACACTAATATAGACCCGCTACACGCCTTCTGTTTTATTTGAACATTCTAATTATTTAATTAAAATTGTCAGAACTATGATTGTAGTTTATAGAATCACCAATTTTTGTTCTATGGTACAGTTAGGTGGGCTAATGCTCTTTTCGTTCTCATATGTTCTTGTCTGCAAAAATCGTAAAATCCACTCGAAAGAAAACAAGGCACAAATTAAGATTTTTTTTTTCTTAATTCAAATTTTCAAATAGATGGATATGTTTTTGTACAATTGTATTTCATTTTAAAGTGAAATAAAACCTATAAGTTGAATAGCAAATAGCAAAATAATGTTCGACATTTGTCAAGAACATATCGGAATTTCGATACACAATATTTTTCTATTGTGAGCTAGCTTTCGTTTCATATTTTTCAATTGGTAAACTATTTTCAAATTTCTGAAGCCTACTACCATCATAAATTTATTTACTGAGTCAGCCCAGTCACTGGACTATGTATAGTTGTGGATGTCTGTCCCCTATCTATTTCATTCATGATTCATTACACAGTCATGCTGCAATTAGAACATAGTAACATGCTATGTTATGTCTTTATCGGTAAGTTTGTATTACCTGTGTTAAAACAGTATTTCCATCGATTGCCTCGTTTAACTTCCTTTCATCATCCACTCTCTCCATCACTCTCATTCCCTTCGAAATAAAACAAAAATAACCGCAATGTTTTCACATAGGTGTTACTTGATTTTCAATTTTTTCTGCTATAAGTTAGCAGAAAAAAGTACCCATTAGTAGGAAGGGAATATAATTCTTTGACTGCATAGTCTAGATCATTCGTGGGTACCCTTAGTAGTAATTGTTTTTTTTAAACATTTATATACTAGCATTATTTAAAAAAAGCAACTTAATAAAATTGTTTTATGAATAGGAAGCCACATACTTTCTGTTTCACATTTTTATAGTTTCAATTCGTATGAATTCTTTCTTTGTTTTACTTTTTTGTCTTTATTCAAATCTCTTAGTGACAAATATTAAACTTGGCATGCGTAACGACGATTTTTTAGTAATGTTTGTTGTACGATTAGCAAATTGTTTTGTCTTAGACGATGTCATTTTTTGGTGCCGTTGTTTCCTTATCTCAGCTAGACAGCCATGAAGGTTTAATCGTCTAAATTTTTGTCAGTTTCAACTGGTTTCAGTAAATATTTATAAACCGGAAGTATATTTGATGGACAATTCCTTGTTATGATAAGGGATTTAGTGGTTTGTTTTTTGTATATCAGATAAGGTTTTCTTATCGATTAATCTAGTTGATGTAATGCGTTTGTTGTCTTCATAAGTAATACGATGAATTCCTGCGACCTCGTAGGATAAAACAGTTTAAGGATATGTAGTGTAGGTTCCTCTACCTCTTCTCTCTTCCTCACCTAAATTAATTAGTCCCACGATTTCGTATATTGTGAACATTTTTTTTAATATTGTAAGGTGGCAAACGAGCGAGCGGCCTGGAATTCGCCGAAAATGCGAAGCTACCACTATCCATAGACATCCGCAAAGCAGATGCGTTGCCTACTTTTATTAAATGTTGTGAGATCACCTGTATATATATACATTATTTATCATACTATTATTATAAATGCAAAAGTTTAGATGGATGGATGGATGGATCGAGGTTTGTTAGAGTTTATAGCTTAAACCTCTGAACGATTTCGATAAAATTTGGCGTAGACGTAGAGGATAGTCTAGAAGAACAAGCGCGGACGGAGTCGCGGGCGAAAGCTAGTTATTTATATATTATACACATTATTTATATAATAGATTAATTAAAAAATCATTGTTAATATCAACATCTTAACGATTATCACGTTTATTATTTTACTTCAAGATTTTAGAGGTTACTGAATTAATTTAACTATTCCCGATGAGATTGTGTATCGATATATCGCATGACAAAGGGTCAGATAATCTCATTCATGTTTTAGTCCACAACGGTATTGTATTATGTTATCCGACACTTCACTATCAATATAATCTTATCGTAGTAACTAAATTACATCTCTATAATCACGTACGACTTAACCTTCGTTTTATTTCTGTTTTTAAAACAATTTTGTGACTAACGTCCCGTTTATATTATGCGTAATTATGCACAGGAATAAGTTGAGAATTCATAGTAAAATCGGTATCTATGAACGTCCCTCTGAGTCCATCAGATTTAAAGTACCGAAAAACTATATATGTTGGAAACGCAACCTCTATTACCTATCTATACTGTTATAATAAAGCCTAAACACACACTTCTTTGTTGCCTAAGATGTCAGTAATTACAGCATATTTTTGAATATTTTTTATAAAAGCCCTACACTTACGTCTCGCTTTAGGCTATATGTTTTGACGCCATTAAACTTAGGAGGTAAATAATTTGGATAAAACCCTAATCTGAGAAAGAGACTATAAATTGCTGCCAACATCAAGGAAGCAAGATTGTCATAGTAAGGTAATTGGTATTTTGACATTTGCAATTGAGAATTTGACACATGTAAACAATGTAATAAAATTTTCATAATTTTACGCGGATGAAGTCGCTCTGGAACAGCTAGTGTCATAATAAAATGTATTTGGGACTTGTTATAGTGTTTTAGTTATAAAAACTCAAAAGGATCACTAATTCTACTCGTCAATGCTTCTTTATAAGATGTCCAATACAAGAAACATAGCCTAAAATTAGATAATGAAATATCGTGCAGTAAATAAAATCGGTTATATAATCCCTTTGCTTCCGTCCTGTACTAAAACTAGTATTGACACATTTCTCTTTTATTTACCTCCCTTGAGTTCCGATTCACAGAGGCTATTTGCGAAGCTTTGTATGCAACGTTATAT